ATCTGGCTTAAAGGTTGTCCTGGGAATCTGGTTGAAAGTCTGGTCTGGGGAACTGGCTTAAAGCTTGGCCTGGGCCGTAGGTCAGAGCAGGTGACAGCCATCCCACATAGAAAAAAAGGCACCTGGGGAAGGGATGACGGAGCAAAGCTGCTCAAAACCCTCCCAGATCTAGGTTTGGCTGCCCCAAAAACCACCCTCCTCCTCCTCCTCCCACATCCTTCACGGCTCCAAAGGTTGGGAACTTGTAGGGCCAAAGCCACGAGGGGGGGATAAAAAACCCATTTCCAAGGAAAAACAGAGGGCTGGAGCCGGGAGTGTCCGTGATGATTTATTGGGGCGAGGGAAGGGGGAGGCTCTGGGCTCAGTAGGGGTGCTCCAGGACGTGGACCATGATGTCCAGCAGGGCCGGCCAGGTCTCGGTGGCCGTGGGCAGGATCTGGGAGCTGGGCAGGAGGAAGCCGTGGCGCCCCGTGTCCCGCAGCTCCAGGGTGAAGGAATATTTCACCCCCTGGTCGTAGGCCCAGTCGACGGTGGTGCCTGCAGCCGTGTCTGCGGGGAGAGGAGGGCAGCTGGGATCACATTCCCAATGGATCAGGGGAGAGGGAGGGAGGGACACTCACAGATGGTGTCAGCGATGCTGCCGAAGGTGTATTTGGTCCCGTACACGGCGGCCAAGTCGCTCACGGCCTTCTTGGCCAGCTCGTTCTGCAAGGGAGAACCCAGAAGGGGGGGGGCTGGTGGAGCAAAAACCTTGGGACAAGAGCCCCAAAGTGGTGGGATGTGGTGGGACAAGACCTTGGGACGGTGGGATCTACAGCCCAAAATTGGTGGGATCTGGTGGATCAAAAACCTTGGGCCAGCAGGATTGAGATTGGTGAGATGTAGTGGATCAAGGCCCTTGGGACAGCAGGATCTAGAGCCCAAAAGTGGTGGGATCTGGTGGACCGGGACATTGGGACAGCAGTATTGAGACTGGTGGGACGTGGTGGACCAGGATCTTGGGACAGTGGGATTGAGAGCCCAAAACTAGTGGGATCTGGTGGATCAAAAACCTTGGGACAGTAGGATCTAGAGCCCAAAAGTGGTGGCATCTGGTGGATCAAAAACCTTGGGACAGCAGGATTGAGATTGGTGGGATCTGGTGGACCAAGACTTTATGACAGTGGGATCAGGAATCCAAAACTAGTGGGATCTGGTGGATCAAAAACCTTGGGACAGCGGGATCTAGAGCCCAAAAGTGGTGGCATCTAGTGGACCAAAATCCTTGGGATAAGAGCCCAAAAGTGGTGGGATGTGGTGGAAAAAGACCTTGGGACAGCAGGGTTGAGATTGGTGGGATCTGGTGGAGCAAAAACCCCGGGACAGCAGGATCTAGAGCCCAAAAGCGGTGGGATCTGGTGGACAAGGACCTTGGGAGTGCAGGACTGAGATTGCTGGGATGTGGTGGACTGAGACCTTGGGACAGTGGGATCAAGAGCCCAGAACTGGTGGGAACAAGCCCTTGGGCCATCTCCCGGCGTTTTGGGGCCATCTCACCATTTCCTGGTAGTCGGGCGAGGGCACCGACGTGTATCCGTAGGGGAAAAGCAGCATCTGGGAGTAGCTGTGGATGGAGATGACGGACTTCACGTTCCCGTGGCCACGGATGAAGTCCACGATGGCCTTGACCTCCCTCTCCGAGTGCGGGAAGGGGCCGTGGTAGATGTCGGAGCAGGGATCGCCGCTGGAGCCGGCACCTGCAGGAGCCCAGGGAAGGGTTCCCATCCCTCTGGAAAGCTGGGATGATCCAAGGGATGGGAAATTCCCGGCGTGGGGCCGCTCTCACCTCCGAACCCTGCGTCCCAGTTCCTGTTGGGGTCGACGCCGAGGCAGTGGGAGCCGGTGTTGGGGGACCTGGTCTTGCGCCACAGGCGGTCCTGGGGGCACAGGGAGGTGAATCCCACCCCTCTGGCGACACGTGGCACCGAGGCACGTGGCCCAAGCACCTCCAGGGATGGCAGGAAACCACCTGTCCCACATGGGGAGCAACAGGAACATCCCTCCCCACCAAAAACCACGGAGCCAAAGCCTGGGATGGGATCCCCCGGTGGCATCCTGGCACTCACGGAGCTGTGGGTGAAGACAAAGCCGTCGGGGTTGGCGATGATCTCCAGGAAGACGTCCATGTTGTCCAGGAGGGCCGTGACGGAGGGGTCCCGCCCGTACTCCTCGGCGATCTGGAGAGGAGCGGGAATTGCCCCCGGGATGAGGGATGCAAAGGAGCAGCACCACGGGGAGGGGTGACAGGGCTAAGGGTTGGGGGTCCCCCGTCCCAGGTCACCTTGTTGGCCGTCCAGACACCGGTGGCCTGGCTGATCCATTCCCGGGAGTGGATGCCGGTGTCCACCCAGATGGCCGGCCGGGCCGAGCCCCCGGTGCTGAACTGTGGGAATTGTGGAATCACTGAGGCTGGAAAAGCCCTCCCAGCCCATGGATCCACCCCGGGCCCCATCC